ATTTGGACATTACTTTTATAGAGGGTACAGTGCAGTTGACTATTTTTTGATAAAAGAAGATAATTTAATTTTCCCCATTCTTGGTCTACCCACACCTAATGGTGTTATTCCGAGTATCATGTTAAAAGGTATTATTATATCTCAACTAAAATGGTTCTTAATAGTCTATAATAGCTATAATTTTTTTATGGATAACATTTTATTATTAAAAATAATGTATTTCTTTAATTATCCATCTTTATATCCATTATCTTTAGTTTATTTTTTAATAAATATAAAAATATTTTAGAAAATAAATTATTGATTAAGGAAAATATCTTATAAAAAAAATAAAAAGGAAGTTAGTTACTTTAGCTTATAAATAGCTATTAGTAAGTTTTCAAGTAATTTTACTCAGTATAACTGGGAAGGAAAGACTAACTTCAAGTAGCTAGGCTTGTGTTGGCATTTCCGTGTTATACATGAATAAATCTTCAGGACAAAGGGAGGAGGTTGGGAGTTAGAACTATATAAGAACTTTTAAGGTAGATTATATAGTTCTACCGAATATTTTATAGTTCATTGTAATATCTTTTTGTAAGGGTGGAGGTTAAGAGTTTAATTAGTGGAAATATTAGGTTGGTTCCATTTCAATTTATTTCTACTTGAAGAAATTTATTGGTAACTGCCTTCTAACAAATGGAAATAGACAGTGAAAGGCAGTGGAAGCTGAGACATTGTGGGTGTAAGCACTCAGCTTCATACCCTTATTTGATCGATTTGTTATCCATGACGGCTGACTAGATTGATATTGGTGTTTGGATTTTGTCTGATAATGAGATATCACCAACACATTTGGGTGCTACTACGACAGACATTATCAGTTATGAAAATAAGTTGACAGCCAGGATTGATAACAGTATAGTAATATATATATAGACAAATACACACCACAGAAGTAGCTTTGCATAAAACCCCATCTCAACATTGGGCAGTAAGCAGGGGTGCATAGGCTGAACACTTTCAGTCACCCCTCTATTCAATGCAGATTTTGGGATAGAGAGGGATTGTGACATAAGTAACGTGACACAGTGGTGTCTTGGGTTGTCTACATACCCACCCGCAAGATTTCATCCAGGGAATGTCAACAGCCAGAGACAAAAAAAGCTTAGAGATGATGAACACAATGTGATGTAGCATTAACATGAAGTGTTATTTTTCATGGAGAAATAAATAAGCCAGGTGAGTTTCTTAACCCATCCAGTGAAAGTGGAAGGAGATAAATTATGAGAAGTACAGGAATTCAATAGCAGGTAAAAATGGTTTCAATAGTCTCTGAAGGGAGCTGTGTAAGTGATGTAACATCATACTGCCTACAAAGGACAAAAATAATAATTATGGTCTAAACAATTATACAAAAAAGTTCAAGGGAGGGTAAGTGGGGAAACATCCTATCACCATCTCATGAAGTCCAAGTCTTATGGAATGAAGAACAGTCTGAAAAATAAAATAAAATAAATCTGTTCCTCTAAAAAAAAGTTTGGGAAGCATCTGAGGCACAAATTTCAGATCAAGGCTACCTGCAAGCAAGAAAAAAGAAAATGAACCTTAAGAAGAAGATGGTAAAGGAGAACAGTTAGCAAAGGTTTGAAAGGAGGACTTGTGAGAGCTCTGAGAACTAAACTGTGATTCCAATCTCAATGGAATAATGGTCAAGAAGGATGAGTGATTAGTAAGGCCTGGATGAGGTCCATAAGAAAAAGTGATAGACCTCCAAGATGGAAGAGTTAGAGGCTCCTGAATCACAAAGAGTCAAATGAGTGGAAATTGTAATTAAACTGGCCAATAAGTGGCAATGAAACACTACAAGATGTAAAGACCACTCTGTGGAAAGAATGTGGACTAGGCAAGATAGCGTATCTGTTACTAAGTTCAGAGCCCCCCAGGGACATGGCAATCTCACAACCAGATGTAATGGTCACGGCCCAAAGAAAAGCTCTAAGCTACTTCAGCAAATTTAGAAAGGAACACCTAAAAAAATCTAGAATGAATGGTTCTAAATGGAGTTCCCCGAGATCAAACTTAAAGGGTCTAACTCCAGGAAGTAACGCCAAGCAAATTCTAAAAACAAATATAACTTTACAACTGCTGAAAAAGAAATCAAGGCAGAATGGTCCAACCATTGCTAGTAAGACTGTTGGTGTTTGTGATGCAAAACTTCATAAAGAAGAGATGAAGAGGACAGATGGCTAAGAAGCTGGACAGGTTTAGGGGGTACAAAATAGTCAAAGTAGGAGGAGAAAATCCCCAAGTTGGTTGAAGAGATTTAAGGAATTGGAGTTCTAAGAAAAAGGAAGAATTCTGACCACAGACTACAGAAGAGTCTTAAGGCAGGGAAGAAAGGGCAACTGAAAGTTGACATGAATCTGAGATAAAAATCTTCATGAACATGATAATTAAGTGGGGAAAGCAAAGGTGAAAAAAATCCTAGTTTTGAGAAGCCGGAATGAGCTCATTCATGAGACACAATATACAACAGTAGTAAGAGAAAAAAATGTCATATAACTGAGTTATCAGAGTGGCAAAGAGCAAAAGTGGGTTACTTGATCCTTATCAGAGGGATAGAAGAACCAGTCAAAAGACATGGAGGCTCAGCAGAAGCTATAGAAGCAGGATATGAGCCCTAGATAAAAAAAAAAGATAACCAATAATTTCATGGAGGTAACATTGCTCACCATCAGAGTACCTCTAAGCACCACCGCCTATACACTATCCCTGCATTAATGACAATGGGCAATAATCCTTTTAAAGATGCCACATCATAGTCTCTTAAATATGTCTCCCAAATCTTGTGGTTTTGTTATGTAAAGAAATAAAATTAATACAAGAAAGATAATAATTCTTATTAGAAGCTGTAAATGAGATTATTTTCAATTTAAAAGTGCAGCACAAAATATCCTTTGTTTGATAAAAGGTCTAAGAAAATAACTCGTATAAACAGTAATGCCAAGGATGAGAATGGGCTTTTGGTTTACATAAAGTGTTCAAGGGGAGAACAATGCAAAAAAGATGCATCACCCTCCTATTTGTGGAGGGGCATAGTCTGATGTTGATTACATCACAGACTAGCACAGTTCACATGATTACACATAGGGGTGAGAGCTGTTACAACAGCTTAGCACATGCACACAAACTTTTTAGCAGTAGTGCAGAGGTGCTAGCTATTTGTTATGTGATGAGGCAAGTAATGTAGTCTGAACCATTGAAACATGATTTCATTAGCAATTCATGTATGGGAAATTCTACAAAATCCTAATGACTAAATAATAATAAGCATGAACAAATATATACCAAATGCAAAATATGGTATATACCATTCACAACAAAATTAAGCCACCAATGTCACTGTATTTTTTCACTGCTAAATAAAAGCAAAATTCTAAAAGTTATATTCTACTTTTTGTGTGTGTTCTTTATGATGGAAAAAAGGCAAGAAGAATTTTATGACGGAAAAAAGTAAAGTTTTCTAGCAATCTGTCCCTTGAACAAGAAGGTTTAAAAAATTCCACATCCCTGACTATGTAAATTAATCATTTTATTGCTGTTTAAGTCATACAATGTATAATCAGTTTTTGGGACAAAATATTTAAGTATTGAATATGACAGTAAAATTAAACTTCTTCCAATTATAATTATACAATTATGTTATTAAGCATGCATACCATCTAATACTGAAACTTACTTTCCTTGAAAGTAAAACAGATGTACTAAGCAGTAAAAATCTCACACTGTATGCACACTACTTTATTCATAACTTTTTCCAATAAAATTTATATATGTAATTTTCATATCCATGTACACAAACATACACATCTCTTCTTAAATACATGAAGAATACCAATCCCAAATTCAAAAAAAATATGCATAAGCACAGTATGTGCTAACTTTAAAATTAAAGTTTATGTCCATTCAAATAATGTACATGTAGCTCTCGACAAGTTGTCATTATTAACTCTTACCATATACAGAATTCATTAAGTTGAAAAATAAGAACGAACAAAAAAAATCAAGTACATGAATCAGTGGTTCCCAACCTGGGGTCCACAAAGGTTATACCATCTCATTAAACAAGCAAGTTTTTAATACTGCTGTTTTAATGTCTTATTTTATAGTGAAAAATGGGAAAACGAGTTAATTAATAGTTAATAAAAACAGCTTGTTGGGTAGACAGAATCTTTAAAGAACATGGGGTCTGTGGGGAAAAAAAAAAATAATAAAAGGGGTCCTTCATGGTGAAAAGGTTGGGAATCACTGATATATATTCATAAATTTATATTCATACACACTAAAAATCTAGATGTAGAGTGGTTATCATGCACGTGTACAATTTAAAAAGTACAGACTGCACAAATATATTTAACAATCATATTAAAGTACAATTGAATGATTCTTTTTCATTTGTCATATAACATTCTTTTTTTACATGACAACTTGTACTATGCAAAGGCACATACATGTTTTCATAAATAGAAATACACATAAACAAAAAATGAACAGTAAATTATAAATATTCATACTCATCCATGTAGCTAACTGTGCAATTTCCTCTACTCAAAAACAAATGCAAAAGTAAAACTAAAGTTTTCTAGTTCAACACAGGTATTTTCACTATTCTACATTTAAAAATATGTGAATATCTATTGAAATTTCATGCTGAGAAAGAAAGAGTTCAAAATGTATAACACTAGCCTTAAGAAAGCAAAAACTATCTGAAGTAAAATAAAACACCACTAAAAGAATCTACACGTATATCAGTGCTTGTTCTAATGCAGTGAGAACTAAGGCCTGTAACTAGTTCTACTTTTTTTTTTGTCAGACCACAATTTTCAACCACTATATTGTACTTACAATCAAAGCTGGACATTTCACTGTCTACACGCGATCTCATACGAAATGCTGTGGGTCCACATCCTGAAACGCACAATACCAATCTTTATTCCCCCCACTCCTTTAAAAAACTAGATAATGTGATGATTATATTTTCTGCCAATTTGTTCAATGGAATAATATTCACAGCTGCAATACTTTCACACTGTATAAGACAAGTGATATGCTTAAAATGTCAACAGTTGATCTATTTAATTTTTTTTTAATACTAAACTGTGTATGTTCATGTAATAAAATGTGAATGATGGAAATATTACATACCAAGTTCAAATTACAAACAATAAAATTAATCATGAAAAGATTAATACCTGTATATTTAATGAAATAAGTCTGAATTCCCTCATAGTTTCTTTGAATAATGTTTAAATGTAAAGCACACTCACTCGCATATATATTTCATGATATAACAACGCTCAAAAGATTATAGTGAAAAATGGACAATTCAGATGGCTTAGCCACCAATAAAATAGTCAAAGTTAAAGCGAATCTCCTAGAAATCCAAACATTGTAAGGATACGAAACAAAAAATTCACAGGTTTTATATAGTTCATGTAAGCCTCACATAAGCTATTTTATACTTATTACCGAGGCATTGTCTTTTTGGGTCTGATCAACACCGACAATATTTTCACCCAAACTTTGTTGGAACAGTATAACTGATACTGAATTATTCTGAATTTCTATGCACATATTTGGTTTTAGAAGTGAGATTTGTCCTTCAACACTCCTGAAAACAAGCCTGATACAACAAAACAAATATTACTATGTTTAAGATTAATAGCGTCTAAACTTGAATTTCAATCATAGCTAACTCAGATGGTATAATATTTAGTGAAGGACATAAATATATATGAACAAGATCCAAGTCCAAGTCTGTTAGGCACTTTTCATCTTTAATCAAATCCACCTCTCAATACTATAGTATACTACACAACTAATAACATCCAATGTTTGTGATTTACTTACATTTATGATACAAGTGTTTTCTATTATGTACACAGATGTCTAGTGATTAAAGAAAGAGGAAAATTGTATGATTCTGTAAGTTATTTATTCCTTCTTTATAAGCAAGAATTGAGATTCTGCTTTTGAAGTAAATGTATCCATGACTGGTGTGCTTTATACAAGCTTTCTCAATTCTTTTTAAGCAGGAGAATCTTTGTTAACTTTGACACGCAATAGCATAAAAGTTTTATTAAAGATGATGATGTTGCTCAACGACAGAACTGAAAGCAGCTTGATTACAATCAATAATTAATGGCACTAGCTAGGATAAGATTCTCTAACAATGTACAGAAACTTGCAGCTGATACCTAGGTCTTCTTAAAGAATGCTAAAAGTGTAAAACACTTTGAGATACGACATGAACATTTATACTATATGACTGAATGTAGAAAAAAAAAATGAAACATGTACACTTGCTACAGGTGTAGTACACAAAAACAAAAGAGAAATCAGACTAGCAGGAGCTTCATCAGGTTTAGGGCTAGCTGACAAATCCTGCTCATCGACTTGTGAATAGGCCTGACCAAAAAAAGTGTCAAGTTTAAGGTTAAAAGAAAAGGGGTAGAGGGGTGCCACAACTTGAGCATCCACATATTTGCAAAACCCACCAAATACACTACCAGATACTGAAAATTATTTTTTTTCTCAAACTACACAGTTTTATGAAAGTTCTTGTCAAGTTTTAAATAATTTTATCCACTGGTTTTATTACTGGAACAAAATTTAATGAGAGGTACATAAGATGCTGCAGTCTGAAGCACGTCTTCATTATAGGATTAATTAAAATGAAAGATTATCAGGGATATGCTTAGAGCAGCAGTTGGGCTGTTTGGACTTGGGGGGACATCTAGGAGGGTACGAGTGCATTGTACTTTTTAGATTGGCTCCCATTAAGTATGTCAGATAGCATGACATTTGTAGAGGTTCAAAATAATTTCATTTAATACAGTTTAAACTAAACTTGCTTAGAAGTGAGAGATTTTGAAAAACTGTGAATAAACAAATTGATAGGATAGCCAAGGCAATGACAAGATTTGGAAAAGAAGATTTAATGCACTTAAATAACAGTTTTGAAGTCATTTTTTCAAAATAAGCATAATATGTTCAAGAATCAGCAAAATCACCACTATTATAATTTCCAGATAAGTTTAGGGCTAAAGTTGAAATGGAAAACTATGATGTAATGAGATCAACTGAAATCTGGTTAGATTTGGAGAACACTGACAACAGAAATTTTTTGAAATTACAGGTTATATATAGATGTCTAATGGTAATAACTTAGAAATCTAAATAACATATGTGCTACAGCCTGTCAAACTGTAGATGTAAAAAAGAAATTCAAGAGGTTAAATCTACGTGGGCTACAATAAGGAGTTTTTAATTGGCAATTGTTTTCACAGTACTTGATCAGACAGATGTCAGTGACAAAAGATATAAAAAGATCAGAACTACTAATCATAAGGATAACGATATAATAATCATTGAAGATTTTAATTTCAGACACTCTGATTGGGCTATATGGAGTGAAACAGTGAGGGAGAAAGTTTCATGAAGTTATTCTGGGAAGTTTTCTAATCCAAATGTTCAAAGAACAAACCAGAAAAGATGGCATTTTAGACTGATTATTAACCACTAATACGGATTTGGTTACTAGAATTGAAGTGTTTGAACATTTGTGAAAAAGTAATGATCATTGCATACTACTTATGGTGTTCTGCTAAACGTTGAGATCAAGAAAAATTAAATTTTAAATCTTAATTTTCAAAAAGCCAATTTTTAGACTAAGAAACAAAATTCATAATTAATGAATTGGGATAATAAATTAAAAGATGATTTAAGACAGATCTTGAAAAAAACTTGAAAATTACATTGTTTTTAATTCCTAAAAAAAATTATGACATGTCAGATCAAAACCAATTGGCTAATTAAGCACTTAAAGGAGGAAATTAGGGATAAATACAAGTTTAAGAGCTTCAAACTTATATATAGAATGGAAGGTTTGCATAACTAGAGGATAGCTTGGGATTTGATTAAAAAATAAGTCAGAAATAAAAAGACATGAGAAACAGGTGGTTGATAATATTAAAACTTTTATCACATCCACAGATTTAAGAAGTATAGCATTATGAGCCACCAAAAATGTATTACTAATTTGCTTGATCTACTGTAGTCTCATTAATACACTTGCAGAACAGAAATGATGTGTAAATGATACATTTTTATGATATGTGACCTAAGTTATGCTCACTGGAAGTTTCAACAGTCCCTAAACTCCTCACTTGTTGGATACCTCCTTAAGTTAACAAGGCACCTTCTAAATGATTTTAAATTGAGTCTTGCTTACATCATCTGATACTTGTGGCAAAATTAGATGTTCCAAAATAAAGAATTCATAGCGTATTAGGTTTGACATATATATATAAATTATCTCCGATAGCCATTATGATTAAGGGGAGAAAAAAAGCCCTTGTTTTCAAATACTAATATTATTAAAAATAAACAAAAAACTTTATAAACAATTCCATTATGCTCATGCTCAACAGACCAAGTAAACAAACACATTATGAATAGCTGCATGATGTTTAATTTTTTTTAATGACCAGACTGTTCTTTAAAGTTTGCATTATATTTAACAATTACAATCAGTGCTTCAGAAAATTATATGAACAATAGGTGTTTCACACATAAAAAAAAATATGAAATTTAAATTTAACATACATCTCCATATCAATTTTGTTTCACAATTTGAGTTTCCATTTTACCAAGCTTCTTTCATTGGTTCCTGGCATCTTTATGGTCATCTTTCCACTGTTTTATACTGTTTGCAATAGTTACAGATATTAAGAATCTATGAATGATGCACTAAAAACATTCATCTACAATGTATTTTGTTAACATTGTTCAATAATGTGTGGCACGCCATCTAGTGATAAAGTCAAATAAGGTGTATAAATAATTAAGTTTGTGATGAACCTTCATTTAGTATTTTGTATTCAACCTACAGTCATTTTGACTGATATTAAGTGTGGCTAAATGTGATAGTACATATTCAGCAGCAAAAAAAAAAGTTTAACATTTTTAAAATTCACCAGGAGCAGTAAAAACCAAGTATTCATACTAGGAAGGAGAAAGTTATTAAAAAAAATAGCTAACACACAGAAGATAAACCACTTAACAGAACTGGGCAGTTAGTGAAATTTACAAATTGCTCAACCCATTAACTATCAGCTCAGGACCAGGAACTGACCTCATAACCATTTTTTGCTTGTTATAGTTTTCAAACTATAATTTTAATATAGTAAGTATATCAACACAAAATTTTGCTGATTAACAGTAAACATTACAAGGTTTTCGTACACAAATTATCAAATTTTTTAAATAATGAATTCCTTGTGCATTTTTCCTTTTTAAATGTTGACTATCCAACATGCAAGGTAATTTGGATTTTAAGATAAAAATATTTCTATGTGTCAGAAAATTTTCAAATTTCACATGCAAAATCTTCATAAGCTCCAGATAATTATCAAACATTTTTTAAAGAAAAAACTTTATATTTTATCTATTATTTTCACTATTGTATCTCTTTATAGGTTTGGTCAATTTTATCGATCTCATAACCACCATAAAAAAATTAAGAAACAGGTATAAGTTACACTTTTTTCATTCCAGAATGACTCCAAATTATAATATGAAATCACAAGTGTTTAGTCTAAATAGCTTAAACCTCATAACACTATACATTTATATACATATATTATTTATATTTTATTGGCTTTTCAACTGTGTCTGATTAACATTACAGAGGTTGCAATGATGCAGTGCACATGCACTGATGTTACTGTATCTAATAGTATAAAACTGGCTTTTACTAAGTGACCTCTCTTGGCTTTGTTCTGGTAGACCAGTATTTTGTAAAATATAGTCATATTTCAGTTATATATATATATATTATTATTATTATTATTATTTACAAACAAGTTCTTAAATTTCAGATATTTTTCTTAAAACATAGAACAGTA